CAAGGACTATTTCCTCGCCAACCGCGCCGCCCGCTACATGATCCTCAACCGCCAATACCGCAACCTCAAGCAGGGCGATCTATCGGTCTCCGAATATGCGCGCCGCATGAAGCAGCTCACCGACGGCCTCGCCGACATCGACCACGCGGTCACCGAGGTGGATCTCACCACGCAGTTCCTCCATGGCCTCGACAAGCGCCTCGAAACCATTCGGGTCGTTCTCGGCAATCAGACCCTCCCCTTCAACACCGTCCTCTCCAGGGTGGTCTTGGCCGAGGAGTCTCAGGCGCAGCGCGCGGCCGAGGAGAGCGCCTCCGCCTTCGCTCTTCCCGGCTCTGGCACCTCCGGCAGTAACCCTGGCGCGGTGGTCGCGCCGCTGGTGATCATGGCGGTGACCGTTCGTCCGACCGCGTCTCCGATCGGCCCCAGGGGCCGCCTCATCCGCCGCCCCAGCCCTCTAGTCATGGTCGTGGTGACCGCGGCGGTGATGGTGGTGACCGCGGCCGTGGACGTGGCCGCGGCCGTGGACGCGGACGCAACGACAGCGGGGGCCGTGGCCAGCAGCACCCACACTTCTCTTCGTTCACGGGCTATTTTGCCCCCTACGGGATGGCGCTCCCGTCCCCCCGCTCCGGCTGGATCCCACCCAACGCCGCCGGCGTCCTCGGCCCTCGACCTGGCTCTCATGTCCAGGCGTACCACGCCTACACTCCGCCTCCGCCGGCCAATCCATACTACCCGCCACCGCCTCCATCGTGGGATCACATTGCCATGCTCAACGCCGCCTAGAGCAACGGCGGCTATCCTTCCACGCCGGCGCCTGAATGGTTCCTTGACAGTGGCGCCTCTTCTCACGTGACGGGCAATCCAGGTACCTTGACCAAACCCAGTTCTTCATTAAAGCATATACCATCTAGCATTCTTGTTGGCAATGGGCAACGTCTTCCCATCACCGCATCTGGATCGACTACTCTTTCCCCCCATGATTTCCGTCTTACTGATATTCTTGTTTCTCCTCATGTCATCACTAGTCTTATCTCTGTTCGTCGTTTTACTAAAGATAATTCATGTTCGATTGAATTTTACCCCTGTGGTTTTCTTGTGAAGGATCTTCGCACTCGGAAAGTGCTCATGATCTCCGTTAGTAACGGCGATCTCTACCCCTTCGTTGGCACCACTCCATCTCTGGCGTCTGCTCTCCTCACCGTCTCCACTTCAGACTTGTGGCATCGTCGGCTCGGCCATCCTAGCGCGCATACGCTCGCTTCATTAGGGCGTGATTTTCTTTCTCATTGTAATAAGGCAGCTCACTCTCCATGTACTGCTTGCCAACTAGGGCGCCAGCCACGTCTTTCTTTTCCTTCTTCCCTTAGTAAAACCTATGCTCCCTTTGAGTTGATTCATTGTGATCTATGGACCTCTCCCGTTGTAAGATTTTCTGGTTATCAATATTATTTAATTGTTTTGGATGATTATACACATTACTCCTGGTCCTTTCCACTTCGCAACAAATCCGACACATCCTCCACCCTCCAACGTTTCTTCTCGTTCGTGTATACTCAATTTCACATTATCATCAAAGCCACGCAATGCGACAACGGCGGCGAGTTCATCAACACCACTCTTCGTCACTTCTTCTCCTCCAACGGCATCGCCTATCATTTTCCCTGCCCCCATACCTCTCCTCAAAACAGCAAGGCCGAACGGCTCATACGCACCACCAACGATATTGTCCGTACCCTTCTCCAACAAGCCGCTCTTCCCCCTCCGTTTTGGGTCGAAGCATTACACACCGCCACATATCTCCTAAACCGGCGTCCCTCCCGTGCCATTCATCCCAACACACCACATTTTCTCTTATATGGCACTCATCCCACCTACGATCACTTACGTGTTTTCGGTTGTCTTTGCTTCCCCAACGTCTCCGCCACAATGCCTCACAAGCTTGCGCCTCGCTCCACTCGCTGTGTATTCATTGGTTATCCCCTCGAGCACAAGGGGTATCGGTGTTTTGACCTTGCGACTCGCCGTGTCATCGTATCACGCCATGTTATTTTTGATGAGTCCACTTTTCCCTACACACCACCCACACCACGGCCACCCACCCTCACGTCCACATTCGATCCCATGCAGCCGATCCTTCCTGCCTCCGTTTCATCGGATCGCCCGCCTCCACCGGATCTCTTGGATCGCTCGCCCCGCCCGTCGCTATCGCCTCCGTCCGGGCCCCACCTCCCCACTACGCCAACCGATTCCACGTGTCCCTCCCGCAACGGCTCGCCCATCATCAGCTCTGCATCCCCCTCGACTGCCGTGCCCGCTTCCACTGGCTCCACCCAATCCAGTTCGCCCCCACGCCCTGCGCCAACAACCTCGGACCCACCCGCCGCTGCCTCCACCTCGCAATCCGTTCCTGTCGGTTCTGCCTCCCCCACAGCCCGGTCCACCGAATCTACCTCGCCATCCGCGCCATCCACTCCCAGCACGCCACGTCTACCTCGCCATGCACTCCCGATTGAGCCCCCACGTAACTCCCATAAAATGACCACTCGTGCCAAACGCGGCTACTGCATGCCTCGCCGTTTATTTCTCGCCACCGCTCCATCTCCTATCTCCCCTATTCCGGCCACCTACAAATCCGCCCTCAAGGACCCTAATTGGCAACAAGCGATGCGTGATGAATATCTGGCTTTAATGACTAACTCCACTTGGTCCTTGGTGCCTAAGCCTGCAGGTGTGAACGTGGTGACGGGAAAATGGATTTTTCGCCATAAGTTCAATGCGGATGGCTCTCTTGCTCGATACAAGGCGCGGTATGTGGTCCGTGGCTTCACTCAACAAGAAGGTGTCGACTATGATGAGACATTCAGCCCTGTGGTCAAGCCATCTACGATCCGTGTTGTTCTCAGTCTTGCCACATCTCACTCATGGCCCATCCACCAACTTGATGTGAAGAATGCATTTCTCCACGGTGAGCTCAATGAAACTGTGTACTGTGCTCAGCCTGCTGGCTTTGTTGACCCAGCCCGTCCAGATCATGTATGCTTGCTCCACAAGTCTCTCTACGGCCTTAAACAGGCCCCCCGCCAGTGGTTTCTCCGGTTCAAGCAGTATTTGCTCTCCCTCGGCTTCTCTGCCTCCCGGAGTGACTCTTCCCTCTACATTCTCCATCGAGGTACATCCATTGCCTATCTCCTTGTGTACGTTGACGATATTATCCTTACCGCCAACTCCACTCACACACTCAACACCATCATAGCTTCCCTTAAGTCCGAATTCTCCATGAGTGACTTGGGTGACCTTCATCATTTCTTGGGCATCAACATCACCCCCACCGCATCAGGTCTCTTTCTTTGCCAACAACAATATGCTCTGGAGATTCTTGACCGCGCTAAGATGCTCAATTGCAAGCCCGTTCCAACACCTATTGACACTAGCTCCAAACTCTCCTCCACCGCCGGCACTCTTCTCTCTAGTCCCACTCAATACCGAAGTCTAGCTGGTGCACTTCAGTACCTCACCCTCACACGGCCTGACATCTCCTACGCCGTTCAGCAGGTGTGCTTGTTCATGCATGCCCCCCGAGACAGCCACATGCAGCTGATCAAGCGCATACTTCGGTACTTAAGAGGTACCTCTCACTACGGGCTTCAGTTCTACCGCTCCACCTCTCGTGATCTTGTGGCTTATACCGACGCCGATTGGGCTAGCTGCCCGGATACCCGCAAGTCCACGTCGGGATTTTGTGTTTTCCTCGGCTCGAATTTGGTGTCTTGGTCTTCTAAACGACAACCAACTGTGAGCCGTTCGAGCGCCGAAGCTGAATACCGCGGAGTTGCCAATTGTGTTGCTGAGTCCTGCTGGCTACGGCAACTTCTGCATGAGCTCAAGTGTCCTCCGCGGCGTGCCACTGTGGTATATTGCGACAACGTCAGTGCTTCATACCTCGCCAGCAATCCTGTTCAACATCAGCGCACGAAGCACATTGAGATAGACTTGCACTTCGTCCGTGATCGTGTCGCTCTTGGTGAAGCTCGCGTGTTGCATGTCCCGTCCAGTTCTCAGTTTGCCGACCTCTTCACTAAGGGGCTGCCATCTCAGGTGTACTATGAATTCAGATCCAGCCTGAACGTTCATCCAAATGGAGTTCCGGCTGAGGGGGGGTGTTAGACTAATTCCTTGTATAGCATGTATGTACACCTGTGTATACCCTAGATTGTAGGATCTACAACAGCACGCCCTGGCCTGCGTGCCGACTCTCATGGGCTCTCCCTTGTATATGTTGTAACCCGTAACCGATGCTAATCAGTCAATCAATAGAGAGTTAATCACTCCAACTGGCAGAGCCGGAGTCGAGCACCACCATTGTGGGCTCTTCCGTCTTCCACTTCAAACTGGACTACGAGCAAGTCAGGCAGCTTCCCACCGGCAAGTCCGTCTTCTCCGATGCCGTCTCCGCCGGGGGACACCTCTGGAGGATTGAGTGCTTGCCGCGTGGGGTGAACGAGGCCGACAGGGAGTATGTTTCTATCTTCCTCGAGCACATGAGCAAATCCAAAAGTGTTGGGGCATTCTTCGAGGTCTTGTTGATGGGCAGGGACGGCAAACGATGCCTGTCGCATATACGTAGGGCATTTGAAACCTTTGAGATCACGGAAGACGGCGACACCTTTGGATGGCATCAGTTCAGGAAGGGGACTGTTGTGGAGAAAGACTACTTGACAGGGAGACACGTCACATTTGTGTGCGCGATCATGGTCGTCGATGACAGTCCTATTCTCGTCCCATCTTCAGACATCGGGACCCATCTTGGCCGTCTGCTAGATCGTGCTCACGGGACAGACGTGTCATTCGTCGTCGACGATGTGACATTCCGTGCACACCCAGCGGTGCTTGCTGCCCGCTCGCCGGTGTTTAGAGCAGAGCTCTTCGGTTCCATGTCTGAGGCTACAATGCCATCCATCACGCTGCACGACATCAAACCTGCAACGTTCAAAGTTATGCTTCGGTTTATTTACACGGATGAATTGCCCGAAGAAGACGAGCTTGAGGACTCTTCTGCCCAGATGTTTCAAGATCTACTCGCTGCGGCCGATCGGTATGCACTGGATCGACTGAAGATTATTTGTGCTCAGAAGCTGTGGCAGAAAGTGTCTGTTGACACAGTTGCAACTATCTTGGCTTGGGCTGAAAACTACAACTGTCAGGAGTTGAAGAACAAGTGCATTGACTTCTTTGTGGTGGAGGAAAATTTCAGGAAGGCCATGTTCACTGATGGTTATGGGTTGTTGCTTTTGAAATTCCCAGCTATTATTGATGAGCTAAGGAAGAGAGTTTAGGACATAACATAGTGAGATCGTCTCAATGTGTATAGTTCAGGTGTTCAAGCAGAGCTGGGATCCTGAGATTGCAGAATCTTCTTCGTAGCAGTATTGGGCTTAATTGCTACTGAGCACTGATAGAGATAAATGAGGTGAGGTGGAGGATGTTATCAGATAACTGAGATGCAAAGTTGCCAAATGAGCAGCTCGTTTATGTTTTTACTTATCTGTTCTTTTTGCCATGTCGTGTCCTGAAGCTACTTTTGCTACTCTAGTGCGGAACTATCTAGCGGCAAACTTCTGGAGGATTAGTGTTTGCGTAGTTCAGTGTGAATTTCCGTTCCTTGGTCCATCTGATTTAACTGGAAGAAATCAAACAAGGAATATTCAAAACCAAAAACATGGAAATATGGTTGTGCTAGTACTATCTCTGTACACTAATATAAGACGCTTTTGCACTTCAATTTACACTGCAAAAACATCTTACATTAGTTTACAGAGAGAGAGTACTAGCTAGAATGGAGGCCTGGCTCTAAATAAATTTTCTAATGAATGGAGGTCCTTGTTAGAGAGAAGGAAAAAGCATCATACGAATCGTTCATTATCCTTGCATACAACAAATCATTTATTAGTATAAGAGAAAGGCCTATTTCGTTCTTCTAAAAGTGAAACAGTTTGACCCCTACGTATTCACCTGCTTGATTACAGGATTGAAATTGTTGTCCGTGGAATTCGGCTTGGGTGGCAGAATTCCTACGGCAGACTAATCAGAGCGAGTGTCACCTGCTTGACATGCAAGCCCACGGCAGAATTTTCAGAGAATGGCTAATAAGCCGAGAAATATGCATAAACAGTTCATCTGCCATAGCTCAAAAGCTGCAAAGATGATCAAAATCATTTTCTCATACTAATCAGCCAGGAAATATGCTAAACAATTTACCACATGGCAAAAAAAAAACATAGCATCATGCGAGTCCCTGCGGTGGGTAAACTTAAGAAACAATTGATCGGGAGCTAGGTTAAGCGATTTCGCTCCCTTGTAATCGATACTCAAGCAACACAACTCAAAGCAGGACGTAGGCTTTTACCTTGTTGGTGAGGGGTCAAACCTGGGTAAACTCGTGTCTCTCGTCCCACTCAACCCCTTTAAGCTAACCCACGTTGCGATGGCTCCACGCTTAAGTCTTTTCACTAGGGCATCTGCCATGTTAAACCCACGACACACAACTTTAGTTGGTGGCATGCCATTTCCAACCAACGCCACCACTATTTTTTTTCAAATAGTGATGGCATTTTGCATATTTGCCATGTCACCACAAATTGGCCCATTTAGTTAGTGTTGGTGTTGCTTTTTTCTAACACACCACAAATTGGCCCATTTGTACTGACCAGGCACAATCTAATGCTCGCGTTGTATTTCTATCAACGTCATAGGTAATTAATTTAGTGTTGGCATTGTAATTCCTGGTACGCCATAAATAATTTTGAATCTTTTATAATCTTGAGTATTTTTTTGAGTCTTTTTTTACTTTAAGTCTGTTTATTGTTATCAAGTATTTCTATAATTCTGGGTCTTTTTTATTGTTTTTTAGTCTTTTATTTTTTGAAACTTTTATAATTTTGAGTTTAATTATTATTTTGAGTATTTTTTATTTTTAAGTCTTTTTTTATTCTGAATCTTTGTACTTTTGAGTCCTTTATTTTTTTTTTTGAGTCTTTTGTAATTTCGAGTCATTTATTATTTTGAGTCTGTTTATTGTTTTAAGTCTTTCTATTATTTCGAATCTTCTATAATTTTGAGTCTGTTATTTTTTCAGTATTCTATTTTTTAAAACTTCTATAATTTCAAGTATTTTTTATTGTTTTTGAGACTTTATTTTTTAGAATCTTTTAATTTTGATTTTTTATTGTTTTTAATCCTTTTTATCAAAGGATGCATTCCAAAGCTTGCCACCACATTGTGTGTCTTCTACTCACTTCATTCACTACTAATTAAAAAATATTTAGAGATCGTGAAAGTTATAAACAGAGGAGCTAACTGCAGTCCCCTCCATGTTTTTTCATCCGGGCTTGGGACCGGTAAAGGCAGTGTTAAACTACAAAACTACTAAACACAAAAAAAATAGCAAACACTACAACCAATCATTCAGCTAAGCAACAAGCCACACAATCAACCAAAGGCAGCATTGGCACGACACACGATTGGCAATAAATACTAACGCGACGTTTTCACAAGATCATAACACAGACATGGTTCAAAATTTCATGGAAACACCGTTGAAATCATGCTTGCCTCACTAGTAGAATCACAGCTCAAAATCGCGGCTCAAATCATGTGTGTCCACACGAGCAGAGACACCGCTCATAAGAGCACAACCAGAGGTCCAAATTACACAGAAACAAACAACATCATGCATAATGGGGATTAAAAATTGAACACACAAAAAAAATTGAACACCCAACGAGGAGCCGCGGCATCGAAGACAAAGTAGTCGATGGCGTTTAATCCATATGGAACACACAACATGGACAACCTGCTGCATGTAGGAAGTGAAGAAGCTCCATTCATGAATATATGTAAAACTGCATATTGTGAACTACTTGATTGTTCAGAAGTCCTGTTAAAGTAACTAGATAATTGTTGTTGCGAGGCTACTGCAGTCACATGCCTGGTACAATGTAATCACATCACTCATCTCAAATAAAACATATATACCACTGGCTTTAGTGATGTTATAGTAGAAAATGACACTGAAATAGATATACATTGGTACCCTAGTACAAAGAACTTCCGCAAGAGTTCCAACACACAAAAATCAGAAGTAAAATCACCATTGGAATGAATAAAATGTACTACTGCAAACAAAGACATTTATCTCTGAACGATATATGCTAAAATATCTTACAACAGATAATCAATTCAGAAACACAGCAAATGCTAGTTAACATCCAAAAGAGGGAAATAGAGGGGGAAACGGTCCACATCTTTAAAAAGATGCACAACAAAACCATTTATCATGCACAGAAACTAAACACTACATCAGCTAGATTTCAAGTCTTGCATGCACACAACTAATTAACAAGCTAACCATCTAGGTAAACTAGAATGCCATCAGCCACAAAATTCAGAAGGTGAATATATATATATATAATACAAAGGAGGTAAACGCAGCTCCCTCCACATTTTCACATCCAGGCTTGGGACCGGCAAAGGCAGTGTTAAACCACACCAATCATCATTCAAGCATACATGCCACACCATCAAGCAAATGCAACATTCACACACACATAGAGTCAAGCACACACAGAGTCACACAATCAGAGAGTCAAGCACACACACAATCAAGCCACACATAGTCACACACAGAGTCAAGCCACACACGGTCACACACACACACACAGAATGGAGCACTTGCACACAAGAAACATACATAGACAGGGGCACAAACAGAAAGCTAATACATGCAAAGACCGAAGTAAACTCAAAAAGCTATAAAGAATTTCCAGAACTTGAATGAGTAAACTGATTTCTCTAGAGGGGCGAGGGTGATCTGGATCTTTGTTCCTGAAAATAGGAAGCTAGTTAGAGGTTGATTAAGTGATTATCTTCAACAATACCCACAAGTTTGTAGGCACATACACATGCTTATTTATTTAGAATTTGGTTTGTAATTCAAATATTATGAGTGTACGCATACAAACATAAAAGAAATGTTAATGTATTCTTGTTCTACTTACTAGAGAAAGCAAAGCATGTAACATGAGCAACATTCTTATAGAAATTCTGGCTAAGGTAAGCCATGCGACTTGATCACACCGGATGCTTTGCCGTGGTCAAAAGCAACCTTCAACACTGATTCATTCCTAGTGCTAGTAGATTCAGCCTGCAGGGCAGAGAAACAATGTCAGTACAAATCACCAGGCAAACCAAGCTTCTTACTTGTTGGGTCCAAATCAAGGAATTCTAGCTACCAAATAATTCAAGGAGGATGCAAGATGAAACCTCCAAACATCAGTCTCACTGGTGCACACCAGCTTATAAGCTCACGTGTTGCGTTTATATTATACAGAATAAACACACCAGCCTACCACCAGTCAAGTTCGAAATAATGTACTGATTAACCAAGCTTATGATGACTTGCCAACAGTTTGAAAGTGAACTGCAGTCTAGTGTTTATTCCATTTGTAAGTAGAACATGATGCAAGCAAAAACCCTAAAAGCAGAATTAAGTCACTGGCCTGGGGTATGTAAAGCATCCACTTTTCACATATTGGGAATATGCACTAACGCCAACTGCCATTATTCCCTTTATGTTCACAACAAGGACGTTGGTATTTATAGGTAGTTCCTATTATCCATATTATACATACTGGGTCATGTATTCTAAAATTGAAAAGAACCACCAAAGAATGGTTAATGTAGCCAACAGATGAAAGGCAGGTTAACTCATCGGGTGACGTGGATTGGCAAGCATGGGAAAGAGGCCTCTAACTATGAGTGATTGTCTTGCCTGTAGGAAGATAATGCAACAAATATGAGTTATAACAGTGGCACACTGCTAAACACCAGAGACAAGTCTTGGTTCAACATAAGCACTATCGTTTCTTATCTGGCAAATTCTATAGTACTCCCTCCATCCCGAATTACTTGTCTTAGATTTGTCTAGATATGGATGTGTTACATACGTGGTAATACATGTTAATTAGTGAGTCTACTTGAACACCACACTAAAAAGGTTACAAGAAAACAAGGTGTTCACATACTTCAAATGCGCTTGTGAAGCTCCACTTCAATTGATATGTTTTTAGATGAGGAATGGCATGGTGGGCCTGTACTTGGCAATTAGCCTGCAGATACTCGATACGGCATAATATATGAATCAATTTCTATTAAACTACAAGATGAGGTGAAGCGCCTATAAGAAGAAATACTCTTTTTCTCCTATCCAGATGAGGTGAAGCAAATGATGACCAAAGCCTTAACTTTAATAGCAGCCTGCACCTAGCAAATAGGTAGT